CAAGTCTGCAGAAATCGTTCTTGGAGGAGACAGGCTGCCTTTCCTCCCGTCGACCTCTCTTCTCCCCACGGGGAGTGGCTACTTGACACTTTGGAACATTTTTCCTGAAGCCGTTAAGCCTCCTCAGCCAGTAAGCCAGGAAAATCTGGCTTTAACCTTAAACATATTTCACAGTCACAGCCGTGCCAAAGAGCCAGGTTTCATCTGCAAATTCTTCCTTGGTTGTCCTCCAAAACCTACTCATAAGGAGGAGATCTCTATCTAAATGCTCACACCAGCCAGCGAGGTATCATATGCCTCCTTTCATCCCTAAGGGGGTAGTAGTTTAGCATCGCTAAATTCCAGAAAAATAAGAATTTCTCACCTAAAACCAGAAGAGATCTCAAAATATGGGAGCAGAACCCATCACAGGCTGTGCAAAGGTCCACTGGATCCGGGATTTTGTTTGTTTTACAAACAATTGCTCCAGATGAGCTTTGCTGTTCCACTAACAGAGTTGGGAAACAGCCTGCTAGGGAGGGCACCACACATGTGCTGACACGCATGGGGCAATAAGCCCATGTGCACACATCTGTGCTCTGCTCTACTGCAACACCCAGAATCATCTGGTCTAAGAGTGTGGCTTCTAAGACGGAGCTCTGCAAAATCTTGAACAGCAAACATTGCTATTAAGCCAGGTGCCACGATGCACAACTGCTCCCATCAGCACTCGAGACTTCAAGGGACTGCAGTAAGCGTAGCACACCAACCACAGGCACGTTTCACTGTTTAAGCAGAGGCGTGTAAAAGCAAAGCCACCTACAGAAACATGGGCAGCAACAACAAAAACCACTGCTTAGCTGTACAACCTTGGACAAGTGACTTACCCTCTCTGAACTCTGTTATCCCACTTTTACAGATGGGAAATTTACAGGGCCTCCTTCAAGCTGAGGATTAAACATGAGGATGCACGTAAATGCTCGACACAAAGTAAAGCGAGCAAAGCATGTCAGCTATTACAGCCAGCTTCTCTTTTAACTAGAACTCTTTGCCAAACAAAAACCCCAAGCCATGATTCCTACCTTCTTTTTGTCCATTTAATTACCTTTATTTTCCAAACAACTCTGTGACCAGGTTTGAACAAATGTAAGGCAATTTATTTTAAGATGCAAGGTGACATTGCTGGGACCTCTCTCCTTTATGACTGTTTAGGTAAGTCAAGGCACTTCCGAAATTGCTTGTTTACTCCTTCAGACCCTGAGGACAGCACCTGGGAGCCAGGCTGACTGAAGGGGCAGCCTGGCTTTGATGGGTGGGGTTTGAAAACAAAAGAAAAGTGCTTTTGATGAAGGGAAGAGGTAGGACTTACTCCTGTTATCTTAGGCGGAGATCAGCAAATACACTGCGGCACACTCTGCATATAAAATTCAGCTTAAGAAAACGTCTGGGTTGCTAATGCAGGTTTGCAAATACAGTGACCATCCTGAAATGGCTGCTTTTTAATGATTTCCTATAATGGTGTTTATACATGGAAGCTTTTTCCCTATTGAAGCAATTTAATTGGAAAATGACAAAAGAGTTCGAAGAGGCGGATGTCCAGTTCCGACGTGCACACACACAGGGACTGCTCTCTGCTGCAGCCTGGATGAGCCCCTCCTCCTTGCTGTCCCCGTGCCCGCCCTCCTCTGGGACCTAGCAGGTGTGGGCCCTGTGCCCACAGCACTCTCCGTCTGCCCCCTACTCTTTGCTTGCATCGCTCCCACTTGTCCCTCAGCCTTCTGCTTAGATGTGACTTCTGGGGTGTGTTCTTTGATGCTCCCACTTGAGGGTGTCACTAGGGGCCCCTGTCCACCTCCTCTCGTGGTCCTTACCCAACTGTTAGTCATTCCCTGTTTACTTGTCCGCATCCTCCAAAGAACCGAGAGCTCCAAGATGATGTTCACTGCTACTCAGATATTTGGGGGCCTCCCAGTGATGTCGGGCACTGTGATGTCGGTAAACAGGACAGCTGGAGTCCCTGCCCGCATGGAGCTGCATTCTAGCGTGAGAGACTGATAAAGACTGGGATACACAAGGGAATAAACGCCAGCACTTGGTGTCGTCAGGGTGCGCTAAGGTCTGTGAAGAGAAAAGCAGCAGGGAAGGGAAGAGAGCGCCTGCGAGGGCGAGAGGGAGTGAGCGCCGTAGGTCCCCCGGAGGGGTCAGGGAAGGCCTCTGCCGAGAAGGCAGCTGCCCGGGTGCAGGAGAAAGCACAGGCGGGTTTCAGGAAGGAGCACACCAGGCAGAGGAGCAGTGAGTGCAGGGACCCTGAGGTAAGAGAAGCTGGTAAGGTCTGAGGGACAGCGAGGAGGCCAGTGTGGTCAGAGCTGGAAGAAAACAGGCCTAGGTGAGGAGGATGAGGTGGGGGATGCCCAGGGTCTGTGGGGCCCTGCAGGCCCTGGCAAGGAGTCGGGACGTCACTTGAGCTTTGAGGGACTTCAGTGTGGAGGACAGCCTCACGGCAGATCCCCAGTGTCTCATATCCCTAGTCCCTAGCAGAGACCCCAGGGAGTTTGCTGAAGAAATGAATAGAGACCTCCTACGGTGGGCAGGGAACATGGACAGGCATTGGGCAGACGGGGTCCCTTCCCTCCAGGAGCTCAGTCTTGTCGGGAAAGATGCCACCACTGGTTATAATGAATATATATTTTTAAGGAGGGAAAGGATGGAAAGAAATGATTTGAGATTAATGATTCAGGAAAAAGAAGTCAGCTCATAGAGCAGACAGGCGGACACCAGCTCCTGGCTGGGTAGCCTGAGCCACAGATGCTCTCTCATGTCAGAAGCCCCAAGAAGTCCCACAGCAAAGACACGCAGCCGATTTAAGTGGGTTTATCCCTCCATTTCCCAACCTTATTTGGTTAAGAAACTTTGTTGGAATGTGAGTCACTTATTTAATTTCATAAAATACGATTTCAGAGAAATGAATGGAGGGATCAGTGTAGGAATGACTCTTTGCAATGATCGGGAACTTCTTGGCGGCTTGCACTTGTCTGACTGCTGAAGGCTGGAAGACAGAGTCCAGAAGCTTGGGGCCGCTAGGGTTAGAGGTGATGATGCTGGTATAACTTAGTACGAAGGACTTGGGCCCACAGTGGGCTGGTTGCAGGGGGATGTGTGTGCTGTGACTTAAAGCCCAGGGTCTGGGTTCAGGTTAGTTTGAAGGAGACAGTTTCAGCCTGAAGCCAAGGTCCCTGGGGAGGCATCCCCACTCCTCAACCCATTTGGTCTTAGCTAAATTGGCCATTACTTGGCCTTAGCAGCAATTCATCCTGCTGACCGCTTCTTCCTTATCAGAGCCTTCTCGACCCCACTGGCTTTCCAGACACCATCTCCCCATTTCCTTCCTACAGCTTCGGCTGATTGGCGGGTTATTCATTCCAACAAGTACCTCTGAACACATACTATGTGCCAGGGCCTGTGGTGGGCTCTAGAGGTCTACTAGCAGATAAAACAAACATGCTTCTGCCCTGTGGAGTTTAGTGGGAGAGTCAGTCAAGCAAAGAAATCACTTAAAATTTCAATGTGACACGAGCAAGAAACAAATGGAGCAGGACAGAGTCAGCATAGGGACTTGCACAGACTGGTGCTCACGAAATGCTTTCGGAGGAGGTGCATTTAAATGGAGACAGAAATGATGAGAGGCGCATCTCTTCCAGGAGCTCCTGCTGAGTCTCCTCATCAGCTGGTGGCCCCCAAGGCTTAGTCTCCAGCTCTCTGCACTTCTCACTGCATGCATCGACTTCCCCAGCTTCAGTAACTATGTGCAAACAACTGATGTCTTCCAGCTGCTTTTCTTCAGCCCAGACCTCTCTTGGCTTCTTATGTTTATGTACCACCTTCCCAGGCACCTCCACTGGGATATCTCTAGCCGCCTCAAATTTATGCCCAAACAAAACACATGATCTCCAGCCCATCCCACCCTCTCTTGAAGCAAAACAAAACAAAATTCAAAGTAATACCATCCCATATTGGTAACTGGCCCCACGGTCCCAAAGAAATTTTAAGTTCTATGAAAATTGCACTACATTTACTCATCTTTCTCCTGGTTCTTCTTCGATCTCTTCCCTACATGTGGGCATTTCCTAAGATATGGTGCTCCTCCCTCTTCTGACTCCGCACCCTTTCAACCATCGGGATCTCCTTACTTCATAACTTCAAAGCCTTTATCCTCAACCTCAATCTCTCCAAAAATCCAGTTAGGCATCTCCGAGTAGACCAGTTGTTTTGCAACATTTTGACAGCAACCCACAGTTGGAACGTTTCATTTGGCAACTTACCACATAGACACATGCAACAAATAAATTTCGTGAAACAATACTGTCATTCTATTTTTTTCCTATTTGATTTCACTTAAAAAATATTTCATGTTTCGTATAATTTCAAAATCCACTAATGGGTCATGACCTGCAGTTTTAAACACACCATCTCAATACACTATATCAACTATTTTCACATGGACATTTCTCTACAACCTCAAACATAATATATCTATTTCCCAACTCATTTCTCAACCAAACTTCCTTACTAAGGAATATGATTATTCTTTTAGTCACTCAGGATCAACATGTTAGAGTCATTTTGGATTCCTCCTTACCCAACAGTTGCTAAAACTTACTGGTTCTTCCACCGCAATGTGTCACCACCCATTCCATCCTTTCCATTCCCACCATCATAGTTCAGATTTTACTATTACTTGGAACACTGCGATAACCTTTTTAACTGGCTCCCCGTTTCCAGAATTTTCAAATGGAGGTGCCATATGTTTGAATCACAAACATCAGGGCTGAAAACTAATTCAGCTTTTCAGTTCCATTTTGACCAACAAAGTAGTATGTAAGGGACTGAAATGGATGTGCCTTCATCTACTCATCAAACTCCTTGACTAATTAAATTTTACTTCAGGCTGCCTCATGTTTCTAAAATTCCCATTACAATCCAGAAACCAAACCATACTTCGTGGTAACGGCAGGCAGACTCACCCATGTCAGCAGTGACCATGGTGGACTGGTTTTCAGGGATGGAGACAGAGGTCTGGTCTTGGTCCATGCTTCGAGAGTCCTCGTTGACCTCGTGTTGACTCTGGCTGAGTTCTGATCGCAGTTCTGAGTACTCATCTTCCTCTCTGAGAAAAAAGGAGAATCAGCCACCACAGGCAGAGATGTAAGACAAATCCCCAGAGAATACGTCTTTTATGGAAAAGAAAAAGACAGTCAGAGAGAAAACAGACAGATCTCCCCTGCCAGGCCACACAGACCAGGATTTCTTTCAGGCCAAACAGAAGGTCACATTTATGGTTAGTGTATGAAACTGCAAGGTTGCTTTTGTGTCCACATACATAGCCATAGACCAAACAAGATTCATCTATCAGCCTACCAGAAGCTTTACCCCTTCAAAAATTTCCTGAAGAAATCAGATTTCTTCACTCCCTCAAATTCCGAGGTGAAAAAGAACTAAGACTACGAGCACTGAGGTTCCAGTGAGCACAGTAATCAAGAGTCTGGTGAACAGGAATGGCAGTCTCATCGCCTGGATGGTCCCACTGGTGGGCCTTCCTCCTGGAAGAGGACATCAGGAGGTGTTGGGCTGGAGCTACTAGAAAACCAGCACCTCATCTGTGCAGATCAAAATGGATGCTTTGAAAGGTATATGGATGAGCATGTCTAAAAAATGCCACATTTACTTTCCCCAAAGAAAGTAGGCAGAGTTAGGGAATAGGAAAACAGGATGGAATGAGGAGAAAAAAGGAAACAGTGAACGAGAGAATACCACTCAATGGTGTATTTCCTTCGATTTGCATTTGCTAAGAGGAAGACAAGATTTAAATGCAGCCATATTTCATCTGCACGAGCACACCCACCCCTTCTCAGCCCTTCATGGATCCCTCAAGCTTTGGTCTCTGAATTAGCTATGGGCAGGCTAAGAAAACTTAAAACTGTTGTATGTATTTCAAAGCACACACCTTACCCTCTTCCCACATCATCATCATCTCTATGCAAACACTGGACACTGGCACGGAGAGAGAAAAATTAACCTTCTTTGAAGCATTTATTTTGCAAGTGAGCCAGAAGAGAAAACTGTCAGGGGATTTAATTATGAGGTTGGAAAGCCCATAGATGTCTGCTCAGCCCCAGGGGAGGATGTCTGTGAGGAAAGCTAGGAAGACAAGAAATCCTCTCAGCTTGGCATTCACTTTACGTTTGTGGACAACCAGGGGTAGCGGGGGAAGGTCAACAGTCTTGGGTTTACCACCAAGACTACCAGACTACCCGAAACCAAGACAGTGAGTGGCGATCCTGGAACTTGGGGAAGAGGCAACTGCCACTGTAAACAGTGGAAACAGATCTATAAATTAGAGAAATGTGACGAACCCTCCAGAGTTCTTGGTTCTCTCAAGAAATCAACATCCTCCCAGGGAAGGGATTCAGCTGAGCCCCTGAAGCCACCCAGAGATCTGGGAAGACTTTAAACAGATATAAAGCCCCCAGACATGCAAAATATGAAATCAGAATGGGAGTGGTAAAGGGAAAAAATATAGGTTAATATTCTATGAATAAGTTAATTATGAGATATCTGCAAAGCTGACAATAATTAGGTTTAGGAAAGAAAATAATGAAAAAGTACTCTTCAGAATTGCCCTTTTGGTCTAGAGGGTAATTGTGCCCTCATACATCAGTTCTCCTTTCAATCAGCACTTTACAATTTCGATTTTAGTTACTGGGAGATTTTGTGTATGATGAATAAATTACCTTTATTGCATGGCCCATGTAATCAGCTTCAGCTTGGCTGAGACTGTTGTGCAGACTAGAAAGCTAGATAAATGCTGCTGCTGTATCTGTGGCATAAATGGCATTTGCAGAATCTTTAACAGCCACCTTAAACCCTCCTGGCTTGGCAGGTTCCAAAACAGGGTGCTTGCCAAATCTCCCACTTTTTAATTATTAGGGATTATTATGATCAACTTTATAAAGGAGTGCATAGGGAAGGGGTGGGAGAGGGAAGCTGTCGATTGCAGGAAACAGTCCTTGCTGAGGTCTGAGCACAGTCTGAAGGACAATTACGCCACACTAGAAAGGTCATCTTAGGCAGAAGGCTTTCAGTGCCGTGAAATGCAAACTAAGCATCCCCATTCAATGTATTTGAGCACCAAAACAAGGTTAGAAAAGCAAAGATCAGATGGGTGCTGTCTTCCAGGAGACAAATATGTTCACAACTAATTCCAACCTAAGAAGGAGGCTGTGGGTGGACATGGGAGGAGCATCTGGGGCTTTAGGTGGGGAGGGACCAGGGGAGACCTCCTGGATGGAGCAGCACTCAAGATGAGTCTCAAGGAAAGTAGATTTTAGGTCATGAGGGTGGAAGGGCATAGGCAAAGGCTCAGAGGAGCCTGTGGACATGAACACGTGGAGCTTGGAGAAGAATAAGTGGCTTGGTATAACTGAAACCAAAACGTGGTGCATGGTGGAAACATGAATCTGGAGAGACACTCGGGCCACGTGTGGAGTGGGCGATTTTGATCAAAAGGAGAATTTATTGTATTGAAGGAGGCAAATAATTAGGGTTAGATGGTAGAAATAAAGATAAAATATGTGGAGTCTAGGAATTCAGGGGAAGAAGTAAATATTGCCGAGATCTTATATGGAAACAGATAAAATAGGCAGGAGGGAGGTGCGGAGGGTCTGTATCCTTGACCCCACAGGGATGGCTGAGCTGAGCACTCATGATCCCTGGCTAAGGTTCCTCCTTCTGGAACTCATAATGAGTATTATAGTACAAAAGAACACATGCAAACAGAGTAAATGGTAATTAGAGGTGGAAAACAACCTGTGAGAAGATCAGGCAGGGTTTTGTGTCACAAAGAAGGAGGTATAGAAAGATTAAATGGAGCCTAAATATTAGAAAATTTGTTTCTAATATTTTTGCCACTGACTCTGGTAAAAAAATCATGGAGTTGCATATCCTTATCATCTCCAGAACATCATTATCAGCATTATTCCTGAGTGGAAGTTGGAATCTGGGACACTGGGAAATGACAAAAGCCAATTCTCTCAGGGCTCTTTGTAAATTGACAGTCAACCTGGGATCGCGGCATACATGGAAGACTGATGCTTGGGAGTTTTCTCTTTCTACTGTATTATTCAGGAGCATTGGTCCATCAGGAGCAATGGAACAAGAAGTCAAAAACACCCTACCAGTCTAAGGCAGTTTTACAAAGGCAAGAATTTGAGGTGTGTTTTCAAGACCTCTCTAAGCAGCAGTGAGTCAGTAGCTGGTAAAAGTGTCTGGCTAATGACCGACACAGCATCAGCATCTCAAAGTGACTTTTCTGTTTGCTTCCTTCTGTTGTGCACATGGTAACTCTTGGAAGTGATAACTTATGTCCTTGGGGAAAAAATACCGCCTTAAAGAACATGAACTGCTAATGCTGGTGATGAAATGAAGAAAATGTGAAAAGGTCCAAGAAGTGACCATTTTAAGCCAAAAAAATCAGAAGCTTTGATAAACTGATAAATTTTGGTAATTATATGCTTTGTGGTAGTTTTGTAATTATGGGATTACAAAGTTCTCAGGTGTTTCTCTTTGGAACATAAAGGATCATCTCACAGGATTCTAACGTACATTATTTCATTCACTTAGAAGCATTTGTGAAGTGCTGTTTAGAGTTGCAACGATTAATGCTTGCTGCTAGCTTAAACAACAAAATAAAACAAAAACGCTCCTAGGGAGGCAGGCATTCGATTGTATACACACCTACGTGACGAGCAGTGGCAGAAAAGTCACAGACTGGAAGGGTCTTACAGACCATCTAAGCAGGATCAATATACTTTTATTTTACAAATAAGATAACTGAAGCTTCAGGAGGCTAAGCAACTTACCCAAGATCATGCATCTAGCTAGCAGCACAGCCTCATTCCTAAATTGAGCACCGATGAAACAAGAATCTAATATGGTAGCCTAAAGAAAAGATTTTCTTTTGCTGTTGCTTATTTTTAAAGATTCCATCTCATTACTGGCTAGGGGTGAAATGATCTAATCAGAAAAAGGGAAAACTCAATGAAAGTATAATCCTTATCACGCTTTCCAGACCTCAAGGTAAAGTACTCTGGAATCAGCAGCATTTGATAAAAATATTACTGCCTTTGAATCCCCATATCTATTTTATTTTGGGGTGCACCTTCATGCCTTGTAACTGGATTGGAGCGATTTGTGAACAAGACCCAGATGGACATCTGCCTCCCTTGGCAACTGTCAGTCAACTATGTCTAGCTAACCCAGTCTACCCGACTTAGTGGTTCTTTGTTGAACCACATTCTGTCTTTCTTACAATTAAAGGCAGTCTTGCCCCTAAATGGCCATCATTCTTTGAAAGAACAAAGATTTTCGAGATGCAAGGAGGAAATGTATTCCTTTCAGTTCTCTTAGAAAATCTATAGCAGGAAATGAGTGATGAGTAAAGTCCTGGTTCTTCCTTCAATTCTACCTCTTATTTTTCCATATAGCACAAAGGAAGATCAGACATCTCTGAATATTTTGGTGAATAACTGAACAATGGGATTTTGAAATGCTCTCCTATGTATATAATAATCCAACCTTGTCATCAATGAGTACCAGTTTTAACAAGATCTGATATAGGATCCATATTCAAGGACTTCTAAATAGTGAACAAGGGTTTAATATACACCACACAAGAAGACAGGGAGAAAGAAAGCTACCATATCTTTGAGTTTTACTTTTATTTCATCATATTTTACTTTTTAGGCCAGAAATTAATCAAAACTACATGTTTTGCTGGGAGATAAAGAGGTTTTGGTTACATTGTATTTTAGAATATAGCAACATGAAGATGGACGGACAGATGCATCACACAGGTTGAAGCATGGGCGGAAAGGTCAGGCTCACTGTGCTGGCATGAGATCTTAGAGACGGGATTATGTTAGAGAAGACAGAGACTTTGGATATTATCTCAGCTGCTAAGTGAGGAACATTTTGCAGGCAAGGAAGCAGAAGGGCTAAGTGCCAATGCAGGGGTGACACACATAGGACGAGTCAGTGCTTTAGCGCTGCAGCCATTCAAGGTGAAAGGTGTAGGAGAGAGAGCCCAGGGTAAGAGCCAAGGCTGAGGAT